AGCCAGATACAATTTTTTAAAAAATAATAAAACAATACTATCAGGGTCACCCTATGTGAACCTGGATAAAGTCTACAGACCACCTACTGGAGACTTGGCTTGGATACATTATCCTAAGATCTCCTTGGGCACTGGGAGCCTGATCCATCTGTCTGCCCTGTCCCCAACCCAGCCCGGGCACAGGAGGTCACTAACTAGCCAGTCCCACTTTTGACTTGGGCTGCGCTCTGCCTTAGAAAAGGGATAAATTCAGGAGGAGTATCATGAGGGCTGCAGGCAAATGAACACCCCAGCAGAGGGCCATGCCGTCCATCAGTCCTCTGACCACTTACCTTGAACCTCTCCAATGCAGACTTGGAATTCGTGAGGCCTTTGGCTGCAAAGGGCAAAATGAACGCTGACAGCCGAAGGAGATTCAAGGTGGCCATTGTAGTAAAGGCCTGCGTGAGGAGGGGGAGGCATGAGGACTGCAGCCCTGCCGTGGGAGGGGGTCCCTGTCAAAGTGTTCCTCTGGTGCATGCCTGAGCCAAACAGAGGTGACAGCTGTCTGGAGAGCACACAGGCCCTGGCTACAGACCCTCAAATGCTCCTCTTCTTGCTTGGGGTGCATTCCCCTGGCCTCACCTCCTCATTACTGCCACCTCAGGAGCAGCACTTTCTGTCTCATTCTGCTCAAAAAGTCAGGGTCCCTAACCCTGGAAGGCAGCTGCAGCTTCCCAGGGCCAGGCTCAGCCCACCAAGGAAAAGACCAAAGGCTCTACACCTTTCTACTCAGGGTGCATTTCCAGGGCCCTTTTGGGAATCAGAGGAACTCCCCAATTGGAGAGCCTCAACCTCAAGGCATGTATCAGCATTATCAGGGTTTTAACTACACACACCACCTCCTCCATGGCCCTGGATGATTCTACTGTCCCCTCTCCCCTCCATCACTGCTGCTATCCAAGAAAACACTGTCTCAGATGTGTTGAGATGGAAGAAACCTAGAGCATCCAAAAAGTCTGGGCGGTCAACATTGATTTGTAGGACCCACTGAAGCCTTCAGATCTTTGCAGGGCATGAGATGGGAAAGGATATATGAAAAAACTCTACCGTGACTGGGAGAAAACACTTACCAATGTGGCCGTGAGTTTCCTTTTTAAGGATACGTGGATAAGGATCATGACTGCCATGGCCACTGTCGGGTTGATGAACAAGCTGACAGTGGTCAGACTCTGGAGAAACCCACTCTTCTCCATCAGTTTCCTTTCCTTCCTTCTTAGGTCTAGAGAGTGAAAAGAAATACTCCCCAAATAACCACAAGAACTTCCTGCAGAGCATGCACCCTCCCCAAAGTGTGGAGGTGAGAGCAGTGGCACAGCACCATCCCCTGCAGAGCACAGCACCCTCCCCAGCATGGAGGTGGGAGCCGTGGCCCCCAGGACATCACCAGGCTCTGAGCAGAAAGTCACACTTCCTATACCTTCAATTACTTTTGCGAATGGTTTCTCCCAGGTGTACATTTTAATCAGCTTGATGCACGTGAGGACCTCGCTGGTGGCCCGGATGCGCTGGTCACTGACCTCGGAGATGTGGTGCTGCATCTTCAGAATCAGTCTGGTTATGAACGCCTGCAGTCAGGAGGCAGCAAGGCTGTGATGGGCAAGAGCTCCTTTGGGCAAGGGTGGGAGAGTTCAGCCTGGCATGCATAGCTTCCAAAGGTCAAACTCCAGGCGTGGACACCGGGTTTAATTCTGTGCCACTGTGACTCTTTCCCAGGGAAGCTCTCCAGGCAATCACACCCTGGGGCATCCTGGGGGCCTTTCCCTCTTAAGTCCCAAGCGGGGCTGAGGCTAACTAACCAGGAACTAAACAAAAATGCCGCCTCTGCCCCTGGGACCCTCCCGCAACTACAAACACTTCTGATTATCGTGACTGTGCCAGGGAGGAAAACATTTCATTTCCATAATTCAGAGCACAGAGGTAATCCCAGAGTCACTTCTGTATTGCCCAATTTTGAATCACTTGTTTCTCTGGCAGCCGATTTGCTTCCTTTTCCCATTATACTATGTTCAGCCAAACAGTAGATACCACCCGCATTATTACAGCAGCACCTTCTGGGTAGAAGGCAGGGGACGAAAATCCTATAGAGATCATTTACTGAGGAAAATCTGTGAAGCAGATAATCTCTCAGAGAAGCCTGCAAGGTAGACCTCTTACTCATCAACCAAACACTGTGAGCAGAGGACAGTCAGAGGCAGGAATCGAAGCTGAGTCCTAACCTCAGCGGAACGAACGGTCTGCAGTAGTCAACATTCCCACTGACAGGTATCTCAGATTCCGCAGCAGAACAAAACAGCTGGCCAAGAAAGACCTTACCTCCACCGGGAAAACCAGGAGATAGCAGAAAATGGCAACAAGCGCGGTGGGTCCCAGAATGAAGCAGGTGGCGATGGTGCAGGCAATCAGTGACATCGCGGCTATCAGCAGCAGGGGGCCGTAGTACACCCCCTCAAACAGGTAGTTTATGTCGCTGGTGAAGAAGTTGATGGCCTGTAAGACAGCACATCTGTGAGCATAGGCGTCACCTCCCAGCGATGCAGAAAGGGGCAGAGGGAAGGCGGCCTTGGCACGTCCTGTCCTAGCAGGAGGCCTCGACAGACAGGGTGCAGAGGGCAAGGGGACACCTCCCGTTCACAGCTTCCTTTTGTCTGGCTGTGTGACCCTCAATGAGCTACTACTCTGAACTTGAACTTCTCCATCTGTAAAGCTGGAACCATCACACCTACTTATATGGTTTTTGTGAGAATTTTGGTGAGATATAAAGTATCTGCACACTCAGAATATACTCCGTAAAAAGCATATTCTATGGCTTGGTGCCCTGTAGCACAGTGGTTACAGAGCCAGCCACATACACTGAGAGTGGCAGGTTCAAACTCGGCAAGGGCCAGCTAAACAACTGCAACCAAAAAATAGCCAGGCGTTGTTGTGGGCACCTGTAGTCCTGGCTACTTGGGAGGCTGAGGCAAGAGAATCATTTAAGCCCAAGAGTTTCAGGTTCTGTGAGCTGTGATGCCACAGGACTCTACTGAGAGTGACAAAGTCAGACTGTCTCAGAAAAAAAAAAAAGGCTCGGCGCTTATGGCTCAAGTGGCTAAGGTGCTAGCCACATACACCCTAAGCTGGCGGGTTCAAATCCAACCCGGGCCCACCAAACAACAATGACGGCTGCAACCAAAAAATAGCCGGGCGTTGTGGCGGGTGCCTGTGGTCCCAGCTACTTGGGAGACAGAGGCAGGAGACTCGCTTGAGCCCAGGAGTTGGAGGTTGCTGTGAGCTGTGATGCCACAGCACTCTACCCAGGGGGATAGCTTTAGGCTCTGTCTCAAAAAAAAAAAGTATATTCTACTAACACTATCACTGCCACTGCTAATATCCAGATTCCAAAGAACTGCTTCTATTCCACTATTCTGTTCTATTCCACTAATGATAGTAATAGTACTAACTGAATTTTCTAGGCAGGGGCTGAGTTATTTTCTTTCTCTTTCTTTTCCTTTTTTGCCAGAGATTCTTCCACCTACTTTCCTTCCCCCACATCTACTGCCTATTTCAATGCTATGAAAAACTAACATTCCAAATCAAGACATCTTTTAATAACCAATTCTTTGATATCTTTTATAATTACTGATCAGAATCCCTTGAGGAGTAATTTTCTTTTAACTTTAACCTAATCTCCTCCCAGTTCCTAGGATGTGCCCTAGCCTGAGTTTTTCAAATGCTTTAACATGTATTAGGATGCATAAGTAGGGATAGCCCCTTTGGAGGGCAATTTAAAAGTATTTTTTTTAATTAGGGTGGTGCCTGTGGCTCAAGGAGTAGGGCACTGGCCCCCTATATGGGGTGTGGCAGGTTCAAATCTGGCCCTGGCCAAAAACTGCAAAAATAAAAAATAAATAATAAATTGAATATTGCACCAACCCTATGATCTGACAATGTCACTTCTCTGCTGAGAAACAGCCTCATGTTTTGGAGGGAGTGTGTCCATAGATGTCCGCTGCAACACTGCCGTACACTAGCCAAACCCTGGAAACGCCCTGACTGTCCACTTCTAGGGAAAAGTAAAAAGCCCACGCCAGAAGCAGCATTGAGTCCTGGAGCTAAACTGTCAGGACTCAAATTCCAGACGTGTCACTTACTAGCTGTGGAACCACACGGGTGACCTGGTGTCTCTGTTCCCCTCTCACTCCATCAGCGAAAGGCTGAATAGTACAACCTGTGTGTTCATGTTGATCTGAGAACTGTGTCAGATAACTCATATAAAGCACTTTATTCTGACATGTTAAAAGCACTGTAGTGATGATTAAGCATCAGTGACATGGATAAGGAGTATAGCTAAGTCATAAGGAGGAGGGGAGGCGACCCACACCACACATAATGCAGCACCATTGAGGAGGAAACCCCCCCGAGCGACACTGCACATTTTCTTTTTTTAAATTTCAGATTAATGTGAGGTTATAAACAAGGTTACGATGTTTGCATTTGTTAGGTCAAGTCTCTGTTGTAGTTGTGTCCCACACCCAGGAGATGTGCCACGTACCCTTACACCATGCCCATTACATGGGAGCACCAATCCCCCCTCCTTCCCCCTCACCCATCTCCCCTTCCTCTCCCCAACTTGAATTTAATCCTGTCTTTCTCCTGGGAGGGTGTGAATCAGTTCATATACTGGCTTCATGTTAGTATCAAGTACATTGGATACTTGATTTTCTATTCTTGTGATACTTTGCTAAGGAGAATGTTCTCCAACTCCAGGTTAATATAAAAGATGTAGCGTCTCCATCGAGTACTCCATGGTACACATATACCACAGTTTATTTAATCTGTGTAAGGGAAATTGAGCCCTGATCTTTAGCATAAGACTCACTTCCTGCTTGAGAGATTTGGAGAATTACGAGAATGGCACGAGTTGTGTACATGCGGGAGATGGGAAAACTTGGCCTCTGAGAGAGAATGCATATGTGAGGTGGGGCAATGATAGTCACGGTAAAGATTCTCTAGATTCCGAAGGTCTCTTGGTGCTGGAGGTGGAGGTTGTGCCCAAGGTCTGCAGTTTTGCATAAACAAAGGTGGAGACGTCCCATCTACCTCCTCCACGAGCTCCATCATCAGTGCTGATGTGGGGCACACAGCTCTTGTCTTCTTCCCATTTTATGATAATAAATAGGGACCCTCCTCCCAGAGTTCCTCAGTCCCCCGACACAGACTCTGTGTCAAACCTCTTCCTTCCTCAAGTCAAGACCTCCACATCAGGTGACCCCAAACCCCTTCAAATCCATTCTTGGGTTGATTCTGCATCTTGACAACTGTGAATTGAGCTGCAATAAACAATCTAAGGCAAACATCCTTATGATAAAATGATACATTGTACATTTTCTTTTGGTAAAACCATGTTGCAGAATGCTATGTAAAATGTGGTACCATTTATGTAAAAATACACACAAAATACAGTATGTTTCCAGGGTAACTTGCCTGTGTACCCTAGATGTTCTCTAAAAGGTCAGGAAGGCACAAGCCAAACTGGTAACAGCACCAGCCTCTGGGGGTAAGGGAGTGACTAAGTTTGAAGCTTCATCTCTGCTATTTTATTTTGATTCCAAGGAGAAGGTATTCAGGTGTTTTTTTAAAATTGATTTTAAAAAGCAATTTATGGGGGCGGCACCTGTGGCTCAAAGGAGTAGGGCACCGGCCATATATGCCGGAGGTGACGGGTTCAAACCCAGCCCCAGCCAAAAACTACAAAAAAAAAAAAAAAGTAATTTATGGAAATAGCCATCGAGGAATTATTTGAATAATCACTTCCATCTCCACTTTCACATGGGCCCTCTTATTATATATGTCTGTGAAGAGGTTTGAAGTGACTGGGCCTTGTATACAGTAGGTGCTCCGCACAGAGACATATAGAGAAGGAATCAAGGCAGGCCTTGGCACAGGGAAGGGCAATGGTTAAAGGACTGGACAGGGCAGCTAGGACCCTGTATCCCAATGCAGCCCTGGCACTAACAGTCATGTGACCTGGTGCGAGTTACTACCCTCTCTTTATCTCATTTTCCTCCTCTGTGACAACAGGAACAATAACAGAACTTATCACACAAGACGGACGCCATGTAAGTAAAGCACTGGGGACAATATCTGGCTGAGATAAGTTAGGGACTGTGGTGACCTTCCTGGGAGTCAGGGGGAGAAGGGCTGCCTGGATCCTTTGGCTGTTAAGTGCAGGAGGACAGGGCAGCCACCGTGCTCAAGACCGAGCAGAAGCCGCAGTGATCACACAGTTTAACGCTTATGAACAACTGCCCCTACATTCTTCATATGTGAGGACTCATTGAATCCTGTGAGACAGGAGTCCTACGAGGTTGGATTTATTATTAATATATTATTATTATTCCACAGCTTCAGAGAGGCCAAACAAGTTACCCAAGCCTGTGGAACCAATAAAATGGTGAAGCACGATACTAGTAATGATGGTTACAGTAAACACCTACTGGGTGTTAGCATTCAAGTTGAGGGAAAGCTTCTATTTCATGGTAATGGTTCAGCTAGCAGGTGCTTTTTGGACACCTGCCCTGTGTAATTCAGGTGCTGGGCCTTCTAAGGAATGGACTGGAGAGTATGGAACGGTTGAAGAGGGCTCATATTAGTGAGGCAGCCAGAGGTGTGCAAAAAAATTAAAAAAAAAAAAAACACCTACAAATCTTAGTGATGAGTGGTGGTAAGGGGTGGAGTTTGGAGATGATCTCATCATGGAAGAGAAGACATCTACCCTGGGCCAGAAAGGATGACAGAGTTTTTGAAGGGCAGGGTTGGGGGTGAGATGAGCTAAGCCCCCAGGAGGTGGACACATCTAGTGTACTTGGCACGGGAAGTTAGCCAGCCTGGATGAAAGCGAGGAAGCCAGCCTTGGGCTAGAGAAGAGAAGATGGGAAGAGATGAGGAGCTGATGGCAGGTCACAGAGGGGTGTGGCTTAAGAGTGAGGAGCCAAAGCCACACCACCTTTTCCAAAAAGTAAACTGTCAGTTTACGTAAAAGGAATCCAGGGTTGGCGACTGTAGCTCAAATGGCTAAGGTGCCAGCCACATACACCAGAGCAGGTTCAAATCCAGCCCAGGCCTGCCAAACAATGATAACTACAACCAAAAAAAAGCCAGGTGTTGTGGCAGGTGCCTGTAGTCCCAGCTACTTGGGAGGCTGAGGCAAGAGAATTGCTTAAGCCCAAGAGTTTGAGGTTGCTGTGAGCAGTGATGCCATGGGGTGACAGCTTGAGACTCTGTCTCAAAAAAAAAAAAAAGGAATCCATGCCCTCACTGTAATTGGTGAGCAATAGGAAAATTTAAAATTGAATGTTTAACATATAAAATTCCAATATCACCCTGACTATGGGTTGTAAGTAAGAGTACCTTCCTCCACCCCTGACTATGGGTCGTAAGTTAGAGTACCTTCCTCCAGCCCTTACAGTGGGTTGTAAGTTAGAGTACCTTCTTCCAGCCCTGACTATGGGTTGTAAGTTAGAGTACCTTCTTCTAATCTCTGTCAAGGTTTGCTTGCGTTGCATGGCAGGGACAGTAAGACTGAGAACTGACAATGACAGTGACCAGGCAGGTGAAAGTGTTCCTCTTTCGCAGATGAGAAAAGAATATCAGAGAGATCATCTATGATCGCTGTCCCCCAGAAGATTCCCTGAAGCCGTCCAGTGCACCCACCCTCTCACCCCAGGTTTGCTCAGGCCATACGCTTTCCAATGTGCTTCTACTTGGGATATGTGTTCACGGCTGTATCCTCAGGGCTTAGAGGAGAACCTGGCTCAGAATAGGTCTTGGTAACTGTTTGCCAAGTGAAAACTAAACCTCTAACTCCTCTGAGTGCAGGTGGCATCTCCCTGGGCTATCACTGGCCTTCTTTCACACCCAGAGGCAACTGTTGATGGTTATTGACACTCAGCCTAGGAAGTCTTTTTTTTTCCTTCTTCCTTCTGTCCTAACTCCCTTTGTCCCTTTATTGGTCCCCAGGGCAGTGATGTCTACGTGGGGATGTGTGGTCTGGGATAGGCATCCCAGTCACTCACCTCTCCTGAGGTGATGTGTGTCAGAGACCTAAATTGTAAGAGCTTCTCAAAGGCAAAGCAGGAAATGGCCCCACGGAACCTCATGCCTGTACGCTGGTTGATGATCCAAGTTGAACAAAAACTCACAGACTTCAGACACTCTGAGAGGAAAAGGGTGAAGCACAGTCCCACTCCATAGACGATGTCCCCTGACTGCTCTGCAGAATATTCTAGGATCCTTGGTACAATCAGCGTCTAAAGGAGACAGGAGTTTGGATCATTTGGACCACATTTGACATCTGTCACCAGAGACAAGGATTGGGAGGTCTGGGTTAAAGCTGGAGATCCGCTGAAGGCTCAAAGGTGGTTTAAACACAATCCCGCCCTGGAGAAGGTCAAGGTCCAGTGTGGGGATACTTGGGAACCCAGCTCTGCCACCTCAGCGCAGGTCTGATGGGAACAGGAGGCACAGGACCCGGGTCAGGCAGGAGCTGGCAGAGCGGCTCTTCACAAAGGTGTGGGCAGGACTCAGGCCGTCCAACAAGGACCAGTGGAACACCCTGGAGCTGGGGAACTGTCACGTCCCTAGAGTCCAGTGAAGGGAGGGTGAGGTCTTGGGAACTTCAAGTGGGGAGTCATGCAGAGAGGGCCCCGACAGGAGCTCCGGTCTCCAGCCTCCAAGGACAGGGAGCGAGGCGGCCGGGCAGTCAGTGCCTTCCCTCACTCTTCTCCATCCCTGTGGTCACCCACCGGAGTCTCCTGCTGGTCAAACTGGACCATTTGGGGAGGCCCCCCTCAGGGATCCACACTGGGACAGGAGGCAGGGTGGAAGATGGTAGGGAAGGATGGAGAATCCCCAGCGCCTGGCTGTCACTGAACTCACTCGCCTCTGTGGTGTCACTCACGTTTTTTCCTGACCTGTGTCCATTCTCCCTTAACTGATAACAGGGCCTCAGCTTTCTTCCGGGGAGATGCTCACCTTCCCTACTGGAAGCTGGGGAGCTGGCCTATCAATCAAAGTACCCCACCCTCCTCTGCCATGTGGCTCCAGCTGGCCAATCAGACTCTTCCTCTGATATCAGACTTTGGGGCTTGGGAACTGGAGGTCAGGAAATAGGACCTGTTCATCCCGACCTTGGTACATGAAGGAGGCCGTTAATTCCTGCTGCCTCCACCCCCAGAGCAGTGGAGCTGGCAAGTCCAGAGCCATGTTCCAATTGCTCTAGACATGTACTTTTTTAGTCCGACCCTACCAGCCAGGTAGCGTCATGTTGTCCATTTTACACAGGAGGGTTTCCTTGATGTCTGCCCCTGAGGATGCCATGGGGTTCCATGAGAAAGCCAAGGCACGGGGGGAGGGGGGGTTTCAACTGTCCAAGTTCACTGGCATTTAGGTGGCAGGGCCATGGCTGGAACCATGGAGTTAGAGCTTACAGCCCTAACTACTGTGCTCTGCTGTCTTCTAAAGGTCTTCACTTCCTGGACACGAGCCGAGAGACAGACATGTCCCCAAAGCCTGGCCTGGGCTTGAACACGCCCCCAGCGGATCTCTAAATCTCTAAACCCTGGAGTCCCCCAAACCTCACCACATCTGCCACTTACTGGCCCGAGGACACTCATGATAATGAAGCAGCAGCACGCAAGCCCAGAGAGAACAATCCTCGTTCTTTGGAACCTCAGCATCACTCGGAGCACCGAAGCCTTCTCAGTCCCTCGCCTGGAGACTTCCTCTTCCCACAGGCGGTGAAGCCTGGAGGACACAGAAATTGCACCCACTGAAGTCCCTCCAGCTGCGTCACCCGGAAGTTCTAGTCATTGCTCGCAGGAGTTTTGTTGCAGAAATACGCAAAAATAGAACAATATAGAAATCCCCCATATTCTAGAATTAACATCATTTTGACATTTTTGTGTCATCTCTCCTCCCTCTCTCTTCCCCCGCTCCCCAGCAGTGGTTCTCAACCTTCCTAATGCTGTGAACCTTTCATACAGTTCAAAGGGGTCGAGACCCGCAGGTTGAGAACCGCTGCCCTGGAGGATTTAGAGCAACTCTCAGACATCATCCTGTTTCATCTGTAAATGCTTCAGTATACACCTCCTTCAGAAAAAACTTTTTAAAAAAATTTAGTAACAATAACACCAGAGTAACAATAATGACATTTAATTCCCAAACCATATTCAAATTTATCTAATTACTAAAAAAAAAAAAAAAAAAAAAAAAAAAGGTTTTCACAATTATGGTGTCTGACTCAAGATCCAAAATCCACATTTAAAGGACAAATTTGGGCTCGGTGCCTGTGGCTCAAGTGGCCAAGGCGCCAGCCACATACACCTAAGGTAGCAGGTTTGAATCCAACCCGGGCCTGCCAAACAACAATGACGGCTGCGACCAAAAAATAGCTGGGTGTTGTGGCGGGCGCCTGTGGTCCCAGCTACTTGGGAGGCTGAGGCAGGAGACTCGCTTGAGCCCAGGAGTTGGAGGTTGCTGTGAGCTGTAATGCCACAGCACTCTACCCAGGGGGACAGCTTGAGGCTCTGTCTCACAAAATAAATAAATAAAGGACAAATCTGACAGGACTCTTGGGCCTCATTTTAACCTGGAAGACTTTGCCTGCACCTGCAGTTTCTACACCATTGACTTGTTGAAGAAACCGAGCAATTTATCGTCTGGAATTTCCCACATTCTGGATGGGACTGATGGCATCTCTGTGGTTTGGTTTCTCTAACATAATCTTCTATTCTTCACATTTCCTATTAAATTGGTAGCTAGACCCAGAGGCTTAACGAAATCCAGAATTCAAGCCATTGGCAAGAACATTTAACAGACAACGTAGCGTGCTCCCTGTCGCCTCAGCTCAGAAGCCACGTGGTGTCTGATGCCCCGCTTGGTAATGTGAAGGCAGCCAGTACCCGAGGTGTGTCAGCCAGACCCGCTCATTACCAACTGCCCCACCAGTAATGACCACTGCCCAGAGCCACTTCCACTAGTGTTAAAACGTGCTGATCTTTCAATTCTGTCTTTACCTCTGTATTTAGTAGCTTGCCTTGGTCTATACAAAATAACTCCCTGGTTAACTATTTTATTACTCTGAAATACAGTTAGCCTGGGAAACAGCCCAGGGCTTTAATAATGTCTTTCTTCTTTGTGAATTAAGATTCATGAAACCTAGAACTTCTTTTTTTTTTCCGAACAGTTTCAGTTTGTCGCCCTCAGTGGAGTACTGTGGCATCACAGTTCACAGCAACCTCAAACTCTTGGGCTCAAGTGATTCTCTTGGCTCAGCCTCCCGAGTAGCTGGGACTGCCAGCAGGCACCTGCCACAATGCCAGCTATTTTTTAGATACAAGGTCTCACTTTGGCTCCAACTTGTGAGCTCAGACAATCCACCTGCCTCTGCCTCCCAGAGTGCTAGGATTATAGGCATGAGCCACCACGCCCTGCCCTAAAACCTGAAACTTTTACTTCCAAGAAGTACCTTTAATTGTTTGGGTTTTTTTTCCTTTGCAGTTTTTGGCCAGGGCTGGGTTTGAACCCACTACCTCCAGCACCTTACTCCTTTAAGCCACAGGCACCACCAGAAGTGCCTTTAATTATTTCAAAAGAGGGCCCCAGCGTTGTGTCACACAATGGAACGTATGTTCTTATTTTGAAATGTCAAGCTAATCATGCTTAGGATAATTTGCGTTATACAAGCAAAATAGGAACAACAAAAACATTTTTTTCAAAAAAAAAATGTGTTATATAATGTAGTATACAAATAAGCATCTAACAAGTTATCATACAGCTGGGTACGATGGCGCATGCCTGTAATCATAGCACTCTGGGAGGCAAAGTTGGAGGGATCGCTTGAGCTTAGGAGTCTGAGACCAGCCTGAGCAAGAGTGAGACTCTGTCTCTACTAAAAATGGGAAAATTAGCCGAGTGTTGTGACAGGTACCTGTAATCCCAGCTACTAAGGAGCCTGAGGCAAACTCACTTGAGCCCAGGAGTTTAAGGTTTGCTATAAGCTATAAGGCCACAGCCTGGGGCAACAGAGACTTTGTCTAAAAAAAGGGGGGGGGGGAGTAAGTTATCATGGAAAAATAAAAAATGTGTTGACTTCTTCTACTTTTTAATTTTGAATTATACGTGAGATAGGGGCTGGAGACTCAGCCACAGTCACTGTCAGGCTTCACAGCCCCCAGAGTCTTCATCAGGCCCTCTGAGCAGCTACCACGTGACATCGGCCCTTTCACTTCCCGCTCCTGCTCTCCGGTGCCCAGTATCTCTGAGTGGAAAGTGGCCACCAGTGTCCATGATGAGAAACGTCAAGCACTGAGTCAAGGGCAAGGGCTCCAGGTGTTCCCTGAAGCATCAGCTCCTCACAGAGCCAGGGCAGGGGAGGCAGGGTGACCTTCCCTGCAGGGCCACCTTTTGTCACCAGGACCTGCCAGCATCTCTGCTTCCCTGCGATCTCAGCTCCATCAGCTTCTGGCTCTCCCTCGCCCAGAATCCCACCAAGCCTCACCCAGCAAACAATTCTAGCCCTTTCTACTCCTCACACCCCCAGCCTTGGACATTTGTGCCTGAAGGGAACAAACATCTTAATAATATTTTTGTCCTACATTTCTTCACCTGCAGTCAAAGCTCCAGGCTCTTTCTTCCTTCCTGAGTTATAAAACAACTCCTACCATCCCGTGCTACCCACGGATGAACCCAGTAACTTGGAGGGTCCAGGCCCTCCCTAGCTCAGCAAAGTTAAAAATGTCCCTGTGGCACTTGTGTGTGTTAGAAGATCCTCTCACTTATGCATGACGTTGTTCGGGCCACCTCCTGGGGCTGCCCGTCCTCATTCCTCTCCACACCGGTACAATCTACAGAGACCACAAGCTCTGGAGTTGCTTCTGCCTTGACCCAATTAATCCAACTTTTTCATAGCCTGCCAATAGCTCTCCGAGCAACTCCATCCATTTTCAGTTATGGGCACCAGACTCAAGAGTCAAAAGATTGGGTTTTAAGTTCCAGCTCCTTCATGCACTGGCTCTGTGACTCAGGAAACATCATCTCATGGATCTTAGTCCCAGTTTTCCCATCTGTAAAATGGGTAAAATATTTTCCCTGTTTATTTCATAATTGTGATGGCAAAAGGAGATAATGGATGGTGAAATGCTCTGTAACAAAAATATGAAGAATTGTTATGGTAATTATAATAAAGATGATGGTGATACTGTTCCTGCTGCTGCTGCTGGTGGTGGTGGTAATGAGGACGATTAGCAGTTTGTCAACAAATCCTCAAAGAAGCCAAAGTTTAGGTCGGGCGCAGTGGCTCATGCCTATAATCCCAGCACCTGGAAGGCTGAGGAGGGTGCATTGCCTGAGCTCAGGAGTTTGAGACCAGCCTGAGCCAGAACTAGACCTTGTCCCTAACAAAATATCCAGGCAAGGCAGCGCCTGTGGCTCAAGGAGTAGGGCACTGGCCCCATATACCAGAGGTGGCGGGTTCAAGCCCAGTCCTGGCCAAAAAACTGCAAAATATATATATATATACCCAGGCATTATGGTGGTACCTGCAGTCCCAGCTACTCAGGAGGCTGAGGCAAGAGAATCACTTAAGCCCAAGAGTTTGAGGTTGCTTTGAGCTGTGACTCCACAGCACATAATGGAGGGCGACAAAATGAGACTCTGTCTCAAAAAAAAAAGAAGAAAAAGAAGGCAAAGGTGTTCTGAAGGATTAGGGAAGTGTACCCCGGAACTCTTGTTACATGGCGAACATACAGCAGGAAACCCTCTATTCTCCAAAGGTGTGAATGCATGGATAATTGTTCTTGAAACAAACATCCAAAAGCCAAGCAATTTCAAAAGCGCTGGTGGACAGACATTGTGAGTAATGAAATAAAACAGCAGAATCAGTGAACTGGAAGAAAAGTGGAAGCAGCCCAGGAGATCTTGTGCTCACCACGGTTAGAAGAGAATAAGCGAGCTGGTGTTTAACTGGTTGCCTGTTACGCATCACACGCTTGCTGGTGTTTAACTGGTTGCCTGTTACGCATCACACGCTTGCTGGT